CCCCCCCCCCCCGTCTGTGCAGTCTCCTCGTCTGGCCCATCCACCTGCAGAGCTGGGACCCTGGAACCCAATCCTGACACCTTCCCCCCATGGTCGCTGTCCTGTGCACATGAACTCTACATGCCATGCCCAGCCCTCCATGCCACCCCCAACTCCCTTCCCTGTCCCCCCATCCTCACCTGGCTGTGAGAGCGGTAGGTGAGGGCAGGGCAGTCAGCAGCCCAGATGCTGAGCTTGGCCCTCTGGGATCCAGGGGTGCACCCAGCTCACCCCTCACCCCAGGCTCGGTGGGCATTTCCTAGGTGTTGCCGGGTCCCTGGACAAATGGTATCGTCACTGGGCCTGATGGGAGCCTCAGGCTTGGGGGGTAGGGGGACCCAAGTCCAGTGGGCACAACCAGTGCCCAAGGCCATCACTGACCATGCATAAAAAGCCACCTACGTGTGAGGAAAGAAAAAAAAATTAAAATCTTTAAAGAACAGTGAACGCCTTTGTCAATAAAACTATTTAGACCATAGAAAACCATCAAAACCAACTAAATATATTCTACATTTTTTAAGTTTATTTATTTTGAGAGAGCCAGTAGGCTGGGAGGAGAGAGAAAGAGAGAGAGAGAGAGAGAGAGAGAGAGAGAGAGAGAGAGAATCCCAGGCAGGCTCCTTGCTGACAGTGCAGAGCCTGATGCGGATCGTGAACTCGGGAACTCTGAGATCACGACCTGAGCCAACACCAAGACTCGGATACTTAACCAACTGAGCCACCCAAGTGCCCCTATTCTGAAAGCTAACAAAGCTGTGGTAACAGGACCAGATAAAGATGGCACTCTTTCACACTCTTGTCTCCTCCCCTTTTTTAACTCTCTCTCTCTCTCTCTCTCTCTCTCTCTCTCTCTCTCTCTCCACACACACTTTGAAGACCAGTTTCATTCAGGAACATGCTTGAAAAAACTTCAACTAAAGTACTGAAAATTTGAAACGAGCTGTGAATTAAGAAAACATCACAACATGATCTATAATGATGGTTTTCTAGGAATGCAAGGATATCATTCCTGTGGTAGGAATCTAACTGGATATTTCATCACATCTTCCTTAAAGGAGCAAAACCATATGATTTTTTCATAGATATTGTAATGTACTGTTACTTAAAAGACATTTATAGAAGTAACCTATATTAGGGAAATAAGGGGGCAACTTAAACAGGATAAAGGTGATTCAACAGTAACTAGTAGCACGCGTGTTAAGGAGTGCACACCCTAAAGGCATCACTGTTTAATCAGGAGTGTGATGTGGATTATTATACTCACTAGTATTCAAAATTTGGGGATGTTCTAGTAAATGAAATAAGACAACCAAAGGAATAAATTGCTTAACTATTAGAAAAGATAAAGTTATTTTTACATGAAATTATTTTATACCAAGAAAATTAGAGATAATATTTTAAAATTGAACTAATAATAATTTAGTTGGCTAATTCAAGATAAATATTCATAAATATTAGCTTTTTTGTATATTAGCAGTAAACAGTAGTAGACATTAAAAAATCTCTTTCACACTAATAAAAATTTCTAAAGTATCTAGAAATATATTCAACAAAGATACAGGTCCTAGGTGACTAAATCCTCAAAAGTGTATTAAAGAACATAGGGGCGCCTGGGTGGCTCAGTCGGTTGAGTGGCCGACTTCGGATCGGGTCATGATCTCACAGCCCGTGAGTTCGAGCCCCTCGTCGGGCTCTGTGCTGACAGCTCGGGGCCTGGAGCCTTTCGGATTCTGTGTCGCCCTCTCTCTGACCCTCCCCCGTTCATGCTCTGTCTCTCTCTGTCTCAAAAATAAATAAACGTTAAAAAAAAAAAAATGTAGGGGCGCCTGGGTGGCGCAGTCGGTTAAGCGTCCGACTTCAGCCAGGTCACGATCTCTCGGTCCGTGAGTTCGAGCCCCGCGTCAGGCTCTGGGCTGATGGCTCAGAGCCTGGAGCCTGTTTCCGATTCTGTGTCTCCCTCTCTCTCTGCCCCTCCCCCATTCATGCTCTGTCTCTCTCTGTCCCAAAAAATAAATAAACGTTGAAAAAAAAAAATTAAAAAAAAAATGTAAAGGACATCAAATATGATCTGAATAAATAAATGGAGATGTACCGTGGCCCAGAATCAGAATATTTTATGTTAATACCACTTTATGTAGTTATGTAATACTAATTAGAACATCATTGGATTTTTTTAAATTTGTTTTCTTGTAATTTAGAATTGGAAAAGAGTAGGTTTTTTGTTTTTTTTCTCAATGTTTATTTATTTTTGAAAGAGAGAGAGAGACAGAGACATAGAATCTGAAGCAGGCTCCAGGCTCCGAGCTATCAGCACAGAGCCTGATGCGGGGCTCAAACTCACAAGCTGTGAGATCATGACCTGAGTCAAAGTCGCGTGCTTAACCAACTGAGCCACCCAGGCTCCCCAGTTTGCTTTTTTTAACCATGTATTTGAAAATTACCTAGGAAAATTTAAATAAAAAGAGCTCTAAAACAACGTGCATTGCCAGATATTAAAAAGAACTTTTTATGAAAGTTTACTAACAAGAACAAGGCCCTTAGAGCAAGCCACTCCAGTCAAAGGATTAATATGGAGGAGAGGTAATTGTCTGAAATCAGGTCTCAGAACAATTTTTTAATTTCTTTTTTATGTAAGCTCTGTACCCAACATGGGGCTTGAACTCATGACCCCCAGATCAAGAGTCACATGCTCAACCACCTGAGCCACTCCAGATCTTAGAACAATTTAGTGATCTTCCTCACTAGAGTTGACTTGAAAAGTAGTAAAGAGTAGTAAAGAATATAGTAAAGAAAATAGTAGAGAAAAATGATGTTTTATTTGCATGATTCCATGAGGATGTTTATCATTGTCGCTATTATAATTATCTGTTAAACCCTGCTGTGTGTAGGGTATTGTGTAAGAACTGGAACTAGAAAGAATAATAAGACCTGATCTCTGGCTTCCATGGGTTTTGATGCTATTGGTCTATCTATATAGGACAGAATCTCAACTTTCTCAGTGTGGTTCATTTATTCCATGGGATTTTTCTCCATTTTCTGATTGAACAAGTGAGATGGAGATATCACATTAGCTCACAGTACAGTTGCAATTACCTAGATTATAGTGCGGTTTTTTGGCTACAAATGTGGATTCTTAAAACTAAATTCTGCAGCATTCTTTCTATGCTCTCTAAGCTGTGCTACAGCAATCTGCGGGCTTCTTTTAACCAAAAGGTGAAAGCTTTGAAGTGTGCATTTAAATATTCTCTTAAATTAACCCAATAGAAGAGTTGGCATAACAATGAGGCTTCCCTTTCATCTTGTATTTTTGTTACTATAAGTAATACTCTGTGCTGAAGTATTTCACAGAATTAGGAAACATCGTTTGCCCAAAAAACAGTGTAGCTGTCTGTATAGTTTTACGAAACAATCTAGAGTAGCACTGTCCTGGAAAATCCCTCATGCTGTGCTTCAAAACCATTTTCAACATGGATAAGCAAGGCATTAAAATCTTTTTGAGGCAAGAAGCTAGAAAGTTGCTTTTATTCAGTGCTTGAAAACTCGGTGCTTGGGTCAATAGGGCAGCATTTTAGCTTTCCCATTTTTCCCTCTTCTAATAATTTTATGTGTTGTCATCCCAAGTAAGGAACAGACTGTCAAGGTAAATAAAATTTACACAGAGTTATAGAACTGAGCAAGACGTCTAATTTCCTTTCTTTGGCAGTTATCTGACAATCAAGGCAAAGCTCCTGGGCCAGGTCAAGCCGGCACTTTTTTTTTTTTTTTCTTCCAGAAAAAGCCTGATCTTTGGTATAGTCTTCTTTTTTTTTTTTTTTTTTTTTTTTTTTTTTCATTGTCAACCAGGTCTAGTGCCTGTGATTGTGTTTGATGACTTTATTTGGGTTCTTTGGAAAACCTTCTTTCCATGTGTGCACAGAGGGGGTACAACGAGATCCGTGAAGTTAAGCAGTTCCACTTCACCGGCTGGCCTGACCACGGAGTGCCGTACCATGCCACAGGGCTCCTCTCCTTCATCCGGCGAGTGAAGTTCTCCAACCCTCCCAGCGCGGGCCCCATCGTCGTGCATTGCAGGTGAGTGCTGGACCAAATGGCCTTGACTGCACGGCCAGCCTTTTCAAGGCAGCAAGATGAAGGCTTAAAGCACAAAGCAAAGGCCTACTTGCAGGGTTCCAGCTTGCGTGTGTTATAGGTAAGGGAAATCAGCAATAAAATAAAAGTTAGCTGGGAAGAGGACATAAAACAGAAACTTAAAAAAAATAAATACATTCATCCTAACGTGTGTAGTGTTGCTCACAAATGGGAGTGTGGAAACTCTCTTTTAGTGGCAACATCTGTGTTTTGGGGTTGTTTTTTTTATACTGCTTTTGCAAATCCCATATTGTATGGAATGGTAGGTTAAAATTGAGATTTCTTGCCAATCTAGTAAATTCCCAATAGAATCTCAGCTTTTAAAACTAAATTTGAGACATACAGAGTTACTAAATGGCCTAAATTGCAAGAATTTGTGCTATAAAACAGCTATTTAAGAATTAAAAAAAAAAAAAAGCCATCCATCAGAGGACCTTGAAAACTACATCAGCGAGAGCCAACAAATATGTGCCAGAAAAATGTGCACATTATATCCAGGCTTCCTTCTGATTAGAAACGTCTCTTAAAACAAGCATTCAGAGACACTAAAAGCAAATTACATGGCCTCATTTCGAGATGTGAACAGAAAACTATGTACTGAATCTGAAAAGCTTTTCCTAAATGCTGCACACCACTCTCAAATACTATCCCCTCCAAGCTACATAATAGGTTGTACTTAAGCATTTTTTTTTCTGAAAATCCAACCTATTCAGAATTTAAATGACCACATATAAAAGGGGAAACAACACAGAGAATGAAATAAAAGTAAGGCATCCCATAAGGATCAGATACTACACACCCTGAAAACAAAATCTTCAGTCCTCCTCAAGAAATCTGATGTACTCTTCAATTACTTTCCTGTCTCAAACCCTGGGAACAGTGATTGAGAAGATGGTAGGCAAAAAAAAAAAAAAAAAAAAAAAAAAAAAAAAAAAAAAAAGGAAAGGAAAGAAAGAAATAGAGATATCCACAGTATCTTCTACTTAAATTTCTTAAAGAACAGTGAGTTTGAGAAGTGACCAAATCTGGACAACAAAGAAATAATGTTAATAGCCCATCTATGCATTTAGAAAATGAGATAAGTAGGTTTTCAATTCAGGAGTGTCTTGACTTATCATAGAGGTTTACTTTCCTATGAATTGCTTGCTTCAGAAGTGCTCCAAGGTTCTCAGATACTCTCTTGGAAACAGAAGTATCATTTTCCACTTAGACTCAGGTATCAGTAAATTTATGAAAAAGAGGAAGCTGACTACCAAGTGGAATTTCCCACCACCCTAAAATCCTAACTATATCTTGTTTGATCTGTTGATTTTTATATATAAAATTGAAGAAACATTCCAAAGGGGTGAAATAACCAAAGTATTTTAAGGTTCAATTACTGAATTAAATACAGTAAGTGGCTATCTTTGTAACCTGTTAAGAATTGTATTCTAAACCTAACTATTCATTTTCATTTTTCCTTCAGTTCACCATTCAAATATTCCTTCTACTATTGGTCTCCTCATTGAACACCACCATTTTCCCCTCCACCCTTACCATTAGCACTTCCTTTGAATTGTGACTCCTCAGAATGTTTTGGAATTAATTTTCTTTGTCTTGGTATTTAAGAGTCTGTGAGATCAAAACAGTGAGCCAGCGTTCTTGCATTTTGTCAGAGGACCCAAAAGTATATGAGTATTTAAATTTGAGGTTCAATTTTGAAGCATGAATCCACCCCTTGGTCAATTCTGAGCTTGAAATCCTGTGCGCTAGATTTGCATAAAATGGAGACCTGCGTAACAGAGCTATGGAACTTGAACAACATGTATATATTATTTTTAAAACACAATTTGATTTACAAAGTTGAGAGCTTTTAATTTTGAACTCCTGTTCCAATCTTCATGTTACACCAAAGCAAATACTCTTCATGAAGTTATTTGTACGTTAAATGTTTATACAACACAGACAAATTACGTCTTGCAGTTTGTTAAAGCAGTTTGATTCCACCCATGTGAAAGTTGTAAGGATTTCTAATCAAGGTTGCATGACTATGCTTCTTGCAGTTCTTCAGATTTGTTTCATTTTTCGCAGTGCTGGTGCTGGACGAACTGGCTGTTACATTGTGATCGACATCATGCTGGACATGGCTGAAAGAGAGGGTGTTGTGGACATCTACAACTGTGTCAAAGCCTTAAGATCTCGTCGTATCAATATGGTCCAGACAGAGGTGTGTTGCTTGTTGATTTATCGCTAATGCCCCCCCCCCTTTTTTTTTGCTTTCCAACATTTATCAAAAATAATAAATGTTTGGGGCACCTGCGTGGCTCGGTCGGTTGAGCGTCCGACTTCGGCTTGGGTCATGATCTTGCAGTTCGTAAGTTCGAGACCCGAGTCTGGCTCTGTGCTGACAGCTCGGAGCCTGGAGCCTGCTGTGGGTTCTGTGTCTCCCTCTCTCTCTCTGCCACTTCCCTGCTCACGGTCGGTCTCTCTCTCTCTCTCTCTCTCTCTCTCTCAAAAGTGAATAACTTAAAAAATAATAATAACAATGAATGTTTTTCATCAAGTCATATAGGAAAATATTGATATCTTTATTAATGTTTCCATATAGAGAAAATTCTTTGTATTCTCTACCTTTGATGACAGAAAATTTTTATTAAAATAGTATGATTTCTTTTCTTTCTTAGGAACAGTACATTTTTATTCATGATGCCATTTTAGAAGCCTGTTTATGTGGAGAAACTGCCATACCTGTCTGTGAATTTAAAGCTGCATATTTTGATATGATTAGAATAGACTCTCAGACTAACTCTTCACATCTCAAAGATGAATTCCAGGTATTTACTTATTTCTAGAGCTTCTTTTATGAGCAACTTATTGCAGTGTGTTCTGGGCATTATTATAATTCTTCTAAGGAAGGTCTTTCAAGTCAAATTTATAACCTTTGACCCTACTTTAAGTATAATAAAATACCTGTCTCTTTCATTATACATATTATAGAGTCACTTTCGTATTAATGAGCTCATATCTGCTGTATCTGGAAGTTCAGACTCAGGGAAGGGTTTGGGGAAAGGTATCATAAAAGTCAAATTTGGCGGTGATTTGTGTGTATTTACAACCTTTTTTAATGCAGTCTTATGGATTTTAACCTTCTGTGTCACTCACAATGTGAGATCAAGCACATTAATAATGATAGCTGAAGTTTGTACTAAACATTGTCTCTAAATAACCCCAAATGTTTTCACTGCCCTTAAAACATCCCTGAAGGTATATGAACATGCAGTTGGGAGTGGCTCTGGAAAACTAATACTTTGATCCCTTGTGCAGTGCTCTTTCTAGCATGTCACAGCCTGTCTTCAAGTGTGGCATGCCAAAATGTTACTACAAATGATACTTTCCAACTTTGACAGTGGATGGATCATCATTATGGGCTACCCCAATTCTATTTTCTTTGGTCAGGCAATGCATTTTGCAGGTAGCCGTGGTGTTAGGCTTCCCTTTTCCTTTTGAGAAGCACAGTGAACAATCCATATATTGTTTCTTTGTCACTGCTCGGGCTTCATTAGGTCTAACTACAAAGTCTATCAGTCTGTCATCGTGGCAAATGCCGCTGCCTTGTACAAATCCTTCACTTTGTACTTGGCCTCCCAAATACCTGATAGGTCTGCATTATGCTACTGGATGGGCCGCTTGCTTTTAACCTAGGTTCCCTTTTCTTTTTAGACCTTGAATTCAGTCACCCCTCGACTGCAAGCTGAAGACTGCAGTATAGCGTGTCTGCCCAGGAACCATGACAAGAACCGTTTTATGGACATGCTGCCACCTGACAGATGTCTGCCTTTTTTAATTACAATTGATGGAGAGAGTAGTAACTACATCAATGCTGCTCTTATGGACGTAAGAGACTGCTGTCTTTGTTAGGATAAAGTGTCACGAAAAGCTACATAATGTGATAAACACTAGCTGGTTTTCTTTTCAGGAAAATTAAAATGGCTTAGGAAGGAAAATTGGAAACTTGCATTGACAGACAAATTTTTTTGGAGAATGATTTTGAATAGCCCCTACAGGGATTCTTAGGAACTGTAAGTTTTAGGCTTCGTTGTAAATTTGGAACTTGATTGTCAATTATTATATTCTTTCTGGGAAATACCTGCAGGTGATATTTTTCATCTTAATTATTTTCAGAAAAGAAAATCATGCTTATGTATTTTGAATGTTAAGTTAGGAATGAATTTTTAAAACCACAGAAAGCCATTTCGTACTGAAGTTGTGTTAATTTGGGAAATCTTTATATCTGGCATTTAACGTTCCAATAATTAATAACATTCCATTAATTAATAGAGACCATTTATAAGTAACTAGGGGAAGGCACCAAAGATACCATGTTAATACATCCATCATCATGAAAGAACTCTCTTGCCCTATTCCAACCTTCATAAAGTGTAAATGGTAGAGCACATCTTCAGCTGGTTAGCATCCCATAGACAGAACAACATGGAAAGAGAGTTTTAAGTTAGTCTTTGGCTACCTTGCTCGGTTACCTTGGAAAGAAGTAAGAAGGCTGTCCAGGTTCAGAATCCTTTTAAACAGCTCATCATCTTCATTTATACACATTTCTAGCTTTTGCCTCTTAACCTATGGAACCATAGTGAGGGGACATTAGAAGTCAGGATTCATTCCTGTATGACTAATAATAAAACCTTCTGAGTTACTTCTCCTATTGTGTTTTCCAAAATTAGTTCCTGATAGTAGAGACTTAGAAAGCCTGCATTCTACCTCTGAGCCTAGTCTTTCAGTCGGTTACTTTGCTCTTTTTATGCTGAAGAGCACAGTGGTCTAAAGACAAGCTCAAGTGAAAAGTTCCCATTCTTGCCGTGACCAGAGTTTTGCCTAGTCATTAATCATATCCACTGAAATCACACTGGATCCTCATTGTACCTTTTATTCCCATTTAGTTGTCCGGAAAGGCTAATATACTAAACACAGAGAACACACACAAGACCCTTTTGTTTCTGAATCTAGATTTAGAATTTTAAAAGGCTGTGTAATAAAGGGAAGGAGAAAATACTATTAGGAAAGAGATTGATGAGGCACATGTTTGAGACATTTTTTGTCTTTTGGCATCTATCTCTGTCAAATTTTTCTCAATTTCCAGGTTGTTTTCTAGTCAATATGAAGACTGAATCTGCTCTCTACCTGTTTCAACTCTCTGCTTAATTTCCCTGTGACTCAACATAGATACATTTTATTTATTTATTTATTTATTTATTTATTTATTTATTTTTCATAGATACATTTTATAACTGAGACCATCTGCTAGATTTTCTAGTGTGGTTGGGGCTTTAGAAAAGTTAGGTTTGGTTTGTCTTAAAAGAACAAGGCTTCCCACTCCCCCTACCCTCTAGCAATGTCCTCAGTGTTCCATACCCTTGTGTATGCCTGTGAAGAATTAGTAGGTAAGGCCAAGGATTCCCTGATTTCCATGCCTTGGGTGTGCTCCTGAACTTAGAGAGGAAAGAAATAGGAAACCATCTGTCTTTCATATCATCTTATTCACCTCCTCTCCCCTGTGACTCAGAAAGTGAGTAAATAGCTTACCTTCCCATGGAGTAGCCATGTAGTTGTAAGGAAAGTTTACTTATTTCTTCTGATTCTTTTTCATGAGCCTTCATACCTTTCTTAGGAGATACTCAGCCCAACTGCAGGTGACACTTTGTGAGGCTTGACGTCATATAGAAGCAGCTAGGTGAATTGCCAGTGCTCATATTTATCCTACAATCTTCCTTGGAGTGGAATGCCATGGTTAGCAGCATTTCCCAAATGGTCATAGGATCAGTCATCAAGAATCAGTTTCTACGCTGATGTTAAAAAACTGGAAAGACTTAAAGAGTCCTATGATACAAATGAGTTAGGGGATCACGGACAGTTCTTATTAGCATTAAGGACATCTATCTCAGGCAGCAATCTAGTTATTTTTTTACAACCTATTTAAGTTAATACGTAGAAATATAGGTCATCAGTCTGCAGGATGACAGATTGCCCAGGTCAGATGAGCATACCCTCTCCTTCTGGATAGAGATAATGTGTTGTGTCCCAATTAAGGCACACTTAATAAAGAAGGAGCCATTCCCTTATAGGTGGGGCCAGGAAGTGCATTTTATTTTTTGGCACTTGAAAAATCTTAAGTGATTGAAACTATCATTCTAACCATTAATATCCATTAGAAATGCCCAAGAAAGTGGATGTGCGTATACGATGTGTAGAATGTGTTGATAATATTCATATAATGTTAAAGTACATGAGTTTGAGGTGTATGTAGTTTTGCTTATCTGAAGTGGAAGAGAACCCAGCAGTTATACATATTGATAGATGATTAACAGATGGACAAATAGATAGGTACATACATACACACACACACACACACAAATACACCAGGGAATTTTGTGTCTTCTGCCTCTCAGACCAATTACCTTTGAAAAACTGAAAAAGCCCACAGGTACCTCATGGAGGTCTTTAACCTTGAGAAGTTTTTTTAGTTTCTCCTTTTGTATTTGTCCTATATTTGCTAATCTCAACAAAATAAAACTTAAGTTCTTGTCTTGAATTGCTACAGAGACATTGAAGCCTTACTATCAGGTTGACCGATTACTAGCTCCAGTACATTCCATTGGTCCAAATCTGTTCTATGACTTATGCTGCCATCTGACTCCATCTGCATGTGAAGCTATCACATCTTACTTGGTCCTATTGAAATGTATTGAATGTGCTTGTATACCTGATCATTTGCCTTAAGTTCTTATGTTCTCCATCTACCCTATTTCTTTACAGAGCTACAGGCAACCAGCTGCTTTCATCGTCACACAATACCCTCTGCCGAACACTGTGAAAGACTTCTGGAGATTAGTGTATGATTATGGCTGTACCTCCATTGTGATGTTAAATGAAGTCGACTTGTCCCAGGTCAATGGCTATGAGTTGCTTTTGTGTACTACGATACAACTTAATAAATTAGTAATAAAATGTTAAAATCTGTTTCATACTACCCCAATTAGAAATAAAATAATGCCCGTTTTCGTTTTGTTTCTTTTCCCAAAACATTCATCCTCTAGGGCTGCCCTCAGTACTGGCCAGAAGAAGGGATGTTACGATATGGCCCTATCCAAGTGGAATGTATGTCTTGTTCGATGGATTGTGATGTGATAAACCGGATTTTTAGGATATGCAATCTAACAAGAGTAAGTCATTAATATTTTAACTGAGTTGTAAGAGCAACTGATCATAACTATGTTGGGGTATAATTCCAATCAGACAACAGGGAGAGTAGAATTAATAGACATTACGTAATCAGTCCCAGTGCTACTAATCCTCTTACACCTTCGTATTAGAAGAAAAACGCATTCCAAAAACAGGAAAGCAGAAATGCTGAGAGTGACGTGTCCTGGTCAGTTACTAATGTGTTACATCTGGAAAACTAAATTTGGATGCACTGGCTCAAATGCACTTGATTGTCTGAGCCTGGTCTCTGCCCCTGTAGACTTTTCTGAAGGTTGACTACATGTCTTATTAGTATTGATATCCAGCCTGAAAGAGGCATATAATTGAAAAATAAGAATATAATAATAATAATAGTGACTAAAGAGCTTTACCTTGGAAGGATGTTGGATCAGCCATCATGGAAAGCCTCCATGTCACTGTTCCAAGTCCTGCATATAAGGGAGAACCCCACACACGAGGAAACAGGTAATCACAGCCATCGTTGATTCTCTTCCCACTTACAATTTCACCTTTCTCAATGTCCCAGTGTCTGGCTCTGCCCAGATCTATAGAAGCAGCACTGGTACCACTGTGCCTTTTCCCAGCAACAAAGCAGCAGCTGTGTGCCTCAGAAATCTTCCTTTCCTTGAGTCTTCATATGTTTTACACTCAAGGACAAATTAAGTTCGGGGTCTCTCCTTCAAAAAAGCAAAAAAAAAAAAAAAAAAAAAAAAACAACCATTACATTAGTAATTAGTAAGTATTTAGATTGGGTAACCAAACAGTAAGCAAAATTTGAAAAGAAAACATTATTCTCTTTTTAAAGAGAAAGGTTACTCTGTTTTTAGAGCGGCAGCTCTATGTATGTGTATTATTTTAAGTGTATGATTCAGATTGTCATATTTCAGTGTTTTCATATCAAAATGGCTATATATGTGTTTCTGGTTAATACGTCTATATGTTTAGCCCTAAGAGAATAAAATCATATCCAATTCTGTCGCTCATTTCAGTGGAGAAAAAAAGGATAACTTCAATCATGTCATAATATTCATGCATATCTTAGATGTTAATTTAAATGGAATCTCATTATGTCTGCACATCTGTTCCATTATGGTTCTAGTAATATTTTAGCTGAGAAACCATCGCTGCTAAACTAAGAAAGTAAGACTTGTCTTTTAATTGAGCTATTTATATGAAAAATATTCTAAAGACAGGATCTGAAATCTGTGTTACATTTTTTTGCCGGCGTATTTGTTTATTTATCTTCCTCCGTATTTGGTGTTCCAGTCCTTATTAGGGCATGATTTTTTCCTGTTCCTGATCTTATTTAATAGCACGCACTTCATCATATATTTAATAGGTACCAATGAGAAGTTGGGTGTTGTACTAGTAGGTCCTTGTGACACGTGAGCCCTGGCCGAATGGAAATTCAGATCTGATGCCTTATGATAAGGCTTACTCATGTATTGCAAATTCTTCCTTACATTTCTATACGAGGGCTTAATGTACTGATTCATTCATTCAATAGTACTATTCCTGGAAAGTATTTTGCTAGGTTCTAGTGATACAGAGTTTAGGGGAGAAAGAATGAAAGAAAGAGATTTCCCTGTCCTTAAAGAATTTATATTTTATCAGGGAAAACACGCACTGAAAAATTCAATTCTTTATTTACAAATATGAGAAATTTTAGAGGAAAAGTACAAAATCCAGAGTGTTTGGGTGATCTGACAGAGCTGGGTGAGTAGAGAGGACTTCGTTGGAGTAGTGATCTTTCAGACAAAATTTGAAGAATCAGTAGGAGTATTGGGGGCGGGAGACCAACTATCCTGGAGTTCACAAGACAGAGAGGTTTCCCAGGACACAAGAAGTTCTGTTCAAAGACCAGAAGAGTTCCAGGCAAACCCAAAACAAACTGATCACTGTATTTGGGATTGAGAGGGACAAACAAGGAGATCTTTGAGGCCAAATGGAGAGTTTTACAAAGTTCTCAAGGCAAGAAATGCCTTGATACATGGATTAAAAGAAGGCCAACGTGTCTAGGACTTGAATAGTGTGTTAGAATAAAGGGAAGGTTAGGGAAGGAAATGGAACCATATTGTGTAGGGATTTTTAAGCCATGGTGCAACATGGATTTTATGATAAGATCATTTGGAAGCCATTGAAGCAGGGGAATGACAAGATTATATTTGCATTTCAAAATAATCATGATGCTGCAGTCAGAATGGTTTGGAAGGAGATCAAAGTTTATTTAAGGAGATCAACTAAGAAGTAATTATCATAATTGATGCTTGGGCATATGCAATGATGTCAGTGGTGACAAAGAGAAAAAGAATTTGAAAGTTATTTAAGAAGTGTGATTGATTATTGGATATGGGATATGAGGGAAAAGCTTATATAAAGGTAATTCTCATGGTTCTTGCTTCTGTAACTTAGAATGTTTCTGTATTGGTATGTACATATTTTAGACTTAGCAGCTAGACTCAATCCAATGCAAATGCCATTTATATCATGGTACCATTTTGTCTGCAACTTCCGTTTTTAGTAAAAATTCTAGTTCCAAGTTATTTACAGAAAAATACTTTTCCTTCCACAGCCACAAGAAGGCTATCTGATGGTACAGCAGTTTCAGTATCTAGGGTGGGCCTCTCACCGAGAAGTGCCTGGCTCCAAACGGTCATTTTTGAAACTGATACTGCAGGTGGAAAAATGGCAGGAGGAATGTGAGGAAGGGGAAGGCCGGACCATCATCCACTGCCTGTGAGTATGGTGCCTCCACTTGGCCACCTGGGGGCCGTGGTGCTCATTTCCTTACTAGCTTTCATATTTTCTATGTTAAAGAGTCCTCAACTCGTGGGGCGCCTGGGTGGCTCAGTCGGTTAAGTGTCGGACTTTGGCTCAGGTCATGATCTCACGGTCTGTGAGTTTGAGCCCCACATCAGCCTCTGTGCTGTCAGTTCAGAGCCTGGAGCCTGCTTCGGATTCTGTGTCTCCCTCTCTCTGCCACTTCCCCATTCACGCTCTGTCTCTTTCTGTCTCTCAAAAGATGAATAAATGTTAGAAAAAAATAAATGTTAGAGAACTCAACTCATCTCTATGGATCTCCATAGATATTGTTTTAAAATAATCTTCCTGTCTTATGATTCCATAATTAACTACCAGTTTTCATTTTCGTATTTTTTAAACACTGATTATCATACAGCTATTATATTATTTAAACTCTTTTGAACACTACTTGGAACCACTTTTCTGATGTCCACACTTTACAAATGTACCAAAATTTCAAGGTATTGAAGTTGCAGTGGTCGATGCCTGTAGCATCTTCCAACACATGAGCCACAGAGCAAATGTCATGCTCGCGCATCTTTGCTCTCTGTCCTCTAGGCATACACGCATATAAATGAAGCAAAATTAATACAAAATGGAAAAAAATTAAGGTCGTGTTTTTATTAACAAAACGTGTAAGATTGTGTGGCCTGTGGTGACTAAAAGCTGCTACCTACATGCCCTTGCTTTCTTTGCTTCCAGAAATGGTGGTGGGCGAAGCGGTATGTTCTGTGCCATAGGCATTGTTGTTGAAATGGTGAAGCGGCAAAATGTCGTCGACGTGTTCCACGCAGTCAAGACGCTGAGGAACAGCAAGCCAAACATGGTGGAAGCCCCGGTGAGTCAGAATCTTAGACACAGAAGGGAGCAGAGATTAGACATCATATACCTACTCATTGGGTTGACTTCACACTCCCAAGGGAAATCAGATGTATAAATGAATCTTTGTGGGGACTTTTCCTATCTAACTGATGAATTGCTGAGCATCTCTCTCTACCCACATAAATGTAATCACATATCACAGAAACTTAATGATGAAAACTATTTTCACTTAATTTGGGAAAGGTGTAGATTTTTTTTCTCTCTGTGTTAGGCAATAAATATTTGCTGTAATAAACTTTAGTAAATGGTTCTATAGTAAGAATAAATTCTACTCTCTAGACTTCATTCTTGCTTATTTTTATTTCTTTTTTTTTAAGTTTATTTATTTATTTTGAGAGAGACAGAGACAGCATAAGTAAGGGAGGGGCAGAGAGGGAGGGGAGAGAGAATCCCAAGCAGACTCCATACTGCCAGTTCAGAGCCCCATGCAGAGCTCAAACTCACAAGCCGGGAGGTCATGACCTAAGCCAAAATCAAGACTTGGACGCTTAACTGACTGAGCCACCCAGGCGCCCTGCTTATTTTTATTTCTTACAGCATCTTGAATTAACTGGCAAAACATTAATCCAAGGGATATACACATGGATTAAATCAGTACTTTAGACACCTAATGCCCTTAAACAACATATGAAATTTATTTTAGTCCTTAGCTTTAATTCTTCATTTCTGGTCAAAGTATAAATTTTAAACTGTCATCACTGACAGTTTTCAGCTTCTACCAGTTATAGTGTGCAGTTGAGATGATGCCACCTGAATTTGCCAGGGCTCGTAAAATCAGACCACGGCTCACAAAGTAAGAGCCGATAGGAATGTGTATGTGGGAGTTCATCTGTGTGAAGGTGTATGAAGAGTAAGAAAGAAAAATTAAACTCCTCGAGCACATTTTACTTCTAAAGAGCGATGTTTGTGGGTTACACACATGTGCAAAGTGGGATAAGGTCAGGAGCAGCTGTGTAGTTTATGCTCAAACAAAGGTAAACCAGAAAAAACTAAGGCAAATTGTTGCTTGCCCTACATTTATCAAGATGATCAGATAACTAAAATGAGCAATTCAATAAGCCTTTAAAGTATTCTCACCACTTCCTGCTCATGGATTGTTCACACAAAAAGTGCATTGCTTCCTGAGACAAAATCTGAAGTTACATTTATACCGTTTCACTTTTAAAAGTGAGAACAGACTTTTTTCCCCTTCTACAAGTCCCCTCAAACCTCCCCAATTCTAGCTCATCTCTTGGGCTCTGCCTGTTGTCTGGACAAGATGATGTCGGTTTTGACTGGAGTATTGGCAATGGAGATGGAGAAAAGGGGATAGACTTGAAGAATTTTTGAAGTAGAACTTGTCAGGTCTTCTTCAAATATAATGGTTATGTCTTTAAACTCTTCGCTGTCTGAAGATTTCTTAATGTAAACTCTGCCTCTGTCTCTCAGATCAAGTCTTTTTAAATTCATCAGTGGGGTCGCTTCAGTGTCAGAATTCAAACGTTACCTCCAAATTTAACTCTAATTTCCTGCCGTAAGTTGGGGGGGAGGGGAATCTGTGGTTAAACTCAACTATTCTAGAACCTTCCAAGAAGTTCCTATTTACCTTTATATTCATGTCCCATTAATCCTGACTGAGCACCTACTTTCTGATTTGTGTTTAATCAGCGTTAATGATGAGTTCAGTGTGCTGTTGAATTGAACTGACAAGTTTGGTAAGAAAATTTGGAGCATAAACAAAAGCTGGTGACAGTTTAAAGAGACATAACTGTTTTCAAGCACTGTGTGACTCTTCAGATGCACTTGCCACAGTGGTAGCCTAATTTAAATCACACCTACTTGATAATTAAGGGTAGGATTGATAAAGATCTCTTTCAGAAAGATTTTACTACCCTACTTTATTGTGGAGACACCGGGAAGTTCTTTAGAAATACGATGCATTTTAGGTTGTTCTGCATTACAGCCTGTATTTTACCCACTTGGAATGAGTTGAAAAATTTTTAATGAGGTACATATTAGAAGTCATAACTTGTAATATGGTCTGATGTTTTCCAAGTTCTTGATAATGGAGCAGTGCTTAGGTAGATGTAAAGGAAAGACAGGTTTTTTTTAATATGAAATTTATTACTTTATTGTCAAATTGGTTTCCATACAACACCCAGTGCTCCCTCCAACAGGTGCCCTCCTCAATGCCCATCACCCACCCTCCCATCCCTCCCACTCCCCATCAACCCTCAGTTTATTCTCAGTTTTTAAGAGTCTCTTATGGTTTGGCTCCCTCCCTAACTTTTTTTTTCCTTCCCCTGCCCCATGGTCTTCTGTTAAGTTTCACAGGATCCACATAAGAGTGAAAACATATGGTATCTGTCAGGAAAGACAGTTTTAACTCAAATTTGGTCAACCAAATTGTCTTCAATATTTAAAGAGAGGAAACAGAAATTTTCAAATATAAGTAAACTCGAAAAGGTGTAAGAGCCACTAACCATTTTTGAAAAATTTACTTTAATATTCTGATGAATGAAAAGGTGTGTGAGGGGCTCCTGGGTGGCTCAGTAGGTTAAGTGCCCAACTCTTGGTTTCAGCTCAGGTCATGACCTCATGGTTCATGGGTCCCAGCCCCACATCAGTTTCTGGGCTGGCAGCATGGAGCTTGTTTGGGTTTCTCTCTGTCCCTCCCCTGATTGTACTCTCTCTCTCTCTCAAAATAAATAAACATTTAAAAAAATAATAATAATGAAATAAAATGACTTATTTTTCTCCTGCTAAGGACAGATATCTGAAGTTTGGAGAAGAATATTTGCACTTGTTCACTGTATCATTTATTTGTAATAGAGAAAAAGTAAAAGCAATCTAGTAGTCAAATCCGTATACCATACATTTATGTAGTGTGAAAAGAAATGTTAAATAACATAAGAAAAAGACATAACAGTGTTAAAGGCAGATAAAATATAAACTTATACTCTCGAATATATGTATGCAATGATATTTATTCTAAAAGAATTATTATTTCAACCATGCATAAAAAGGGACTAAAGCAAAACAAAGGCGGTATTTTACCAAGAATTGTTTCTGGTAATAGAGTTATGAAACTCTTTCTGATTCCTTGGGTTTTTCTATACTGGGAATTTTTTCTGTAATGATCAGGTTTTACTATTATAATTAGATAAAAAATACTGGAGATTTTTTTAATTTGATAAAAAATATAAGGCAAACACAATATATCTTTCCTTAAGTTCCTTTCCTTAAACGCCGATCTTTAGACTCAAATGTAACATATACATGCCCAGAGATTAAACTTCGGTATCGAAAAAATAATTGGTAATTCTCGAATAATCTAACGTGGTGGTTTGGTGTTCGTTTGGCGGCTGTGGTTCACCGTTAGTCTCCTTTTTCTCACCTTTTCTCAACTCTTTTGTTTTCACCTGTTTCAGGAGCAGTACCGTTTCTGCTATGATGTAGCCCTGGAGTACCTGGAATCTTCTTAGTCGGGTGAGACTTCGGAGCACAGCCACGCAGAAACCTGTTCATCTGTTGCGCCAGCAGCTGTTGTACCTGTTACACCTGTGCAGAAAGATTTTAATGTGGGGGGTGGGAGGCTTTTACATTCAAGAAGTAAAAGTATTTTTCTTATGAAGTTGTGTATCTTAATAAAAAGGACTCAACTAGTTTCTATTACCGTATGAAAGCATCGACATTTCGTGCCGCATAAATTATATTTAATAAGAACCAGATTCAAATGAGAACTTCTCAGTGTTTGTACAGTGAATACGCAGCTTTTTCTCCCCTGGTTTTGGTAGAGCAGCCACCATGTGTTGCATGAATTAATACTTTCTATGTGGCATTTTTTTCTCCCTTTTTTAGATAAAAGATGTTAAATCTTTAAGGAAGAAGTAAGAAAAGCTGTGCAAATTCATAGTAAAGTTCATTTTTTATATGTTTCAAGTGTAGCAGATCTCTATATAAATATATAAATATATATAACTGGCTTATTTTCTTTTAATGTGCAATGATGGCTAGATCATTTAAAGTTCTTTTTAGAAAAAACATAAGCCAAAGACTCAAGTGTAAATATGTCTATACGGAGAAAGCACATTATATTTATTGGTTACTTACATTCCTTTTTTGATGGCTAAAATACTACCACCACACAATCATTTTTTTTTTCTGAAGAAAACTTTTTCTTTCACTAAAATCAATTGTAAACGATTTTTGTAGATTATTTTTTGTATGTTTTAGTGTAAGTAGAGGATAAACTTTTTATTCATAAACCAGGAAGCAATGTTCTTTATAGTGATTCTCTTGTGTACATGCTTGTGAATTAAATTTATGTAAAACACCTTGGCAATTGGGTCTTTTAATATGGGACCAAATTAAAACATTTTGCTGAAAATGTATAATTTTCCACAATTTCATTAGGTAAATAATGGTTTGGTGATCATACATGAGAATTGCACACATTCAAAGGCCTTGCTGATCACTTGTGCAATGTTGAACACAGCCTTTAAGCATCGTTTAAATTTTAAAGGAATTGATTTTTCTCAGCCTGTGACCAAGCACTGGTCAAGAAAACAAAATGGCAACATTTATGCTTTCAGAGTCACGTTTTAGCAAACTGTAAACCATCAACACTGTAAAGTGCTTCTTTTGATGTTTACATGCACAAGCTTTGGATTCGGACCATAGAGAGTGTGAACAAATCAATGCCAGATTCCTGTTTGTGCATGGCCATGGGATTTGCAAGTGAACCTTTCCAAATGTGGTCTTGTTCATATGCTCCATGTAGCTGTAACTTCACACCATCAGCTTGCAGTTTGTTATTGACTGAAGCATTCCAGTATCCTCCTTCTAGATTGCCAGTACATGACATGGTGCTTATCAAGATTTAACTAAAGTAAGAGTGAAATAAAGTTTTTATAATTACAACAATTGTTTGCACATCATTTTCTCTTAATCTTCATGTCTTCACTCCCCCCCCAAAATTGTCTCTTCTCACTGATACTAGTAGACCACTAAAATTCTATTAAAAGTAAAACGAATGTCCAAGCACTAATATCTTTCTTTTTTAATTGAATGTCAGCCAGTCCAGATGAGTGGAAGGGATAAAGGCCAGAAGATTGACATACTTTTTTTTAAATTTCTATATATGTATGTCACTATCTTTTTATGTGATAGACATTTTCATACTTCTTCCTTATAGCAAACTTGACAAATAAGTATCCCTGTTTTATGGATGTTGTAATTGAAGATAATGAGAAAGTAAACGATTTGTCAACAGATTCAAACCTGAGTCTGATTTACCAGTTCATTCTCTTCCACTAAACACAGTGCTTCCCCAGTGACATGACAAAGAAAATTTGGCACTTCGCTCTTATTGTTCCTCATTAATTGATTTTCTCATAAAGTCTCATTATGGGTATCTTCAAACTTCTATTTGCTGTGTACATTATTAGAACATTTGTGACTTTCATTAGTAAGAATTTAGATAAAGAGACTTTATCTTTTCCTAGAAAGACTAATTTACATTTAAACATGGGTGCATTCAACAAAAATCCACAAGCTCATCCAAGATTTCTTTGCCTGGTAATGTTCAGGATGTTAATCCTATAGAGGATTCTGCTTTGCTGCATGACCCTGCTTTAATTTCTGCTCACGTGATTGTGTCCAAACTCCACCAAAATTACCATAAATACCACTGTTCGCAAAGCTCAGAGGTCCATATGGCCTCCAAAATTTAAGCAAAGAACAAAAGGAGTCCTCTTTCTCTCTAGCAGAAATAGTGTCACGCTTGCTTTGGGCACCACAGAAGCCAGTTCATTCGCAAACAATGGGGGGATGTAAATATGTTTTTCTCAAAACTCATTCGAAAAGTCCTACTTAATACCCCATGGCACTCCCTGTGCTTGGATGGCCGCGTTCAGTCACCTATGTCTCTCTGGGCAGGAAATGTCCTGGCAGGGCTTTTAAAAGGGGTCATGCTTTTCACAGTGAAAGGCCTCCGACCTTTCTATCAGTTATTCCTTGAATGGCTGTCATGAAGTCGAAGTTTATAGATCCCCTTCTTAGATATTATCACTAGGGAAATGCCGGAAGCGTGTGGACCAGAGGCACACAAACAGCTGGGAATTTATGAGTTTTAACAAAGTACTCTTAGAAGTCAGTGGTAGGTTTCTGGTCTGAGCTGCCTAGCCTTTTTCTAATATTTAGTCTTTGGAGAAAGTTTTCACATGAGTGTGCTGCTGCATTGCAACCAAAGGATCTGACATTGAGACACAAGAAAGAAGATCTTTTTACCTGGACAAGAAGGGAGAAGAGACACGCTTACCTCTACTCTGATGTGCTTATGTGCTCATTCACTATTCACCTTCTCGAGAATCTTTTAAGTTCCAGGTACTCATGTAACAAGCGTAGAAGTCAGGCATCAACAGCTGCTACCTCTCAAATCTGCTCTGTTGTTAGGAAATGGTTCCTAGCATCTAAAGAATGTACTAAACAACAGTAAATATTAGAATTCAGGAGGGAAATGACTGTAGTGCACCTAGAAATATGAGATCATCTGTTAGCTTTGGGAGAACGCTTTTGAGATTTGCCTCACTTTATGGGAGAGTGGCAATTCTACATTGTTAATTTTTGTGCACTTCAGCAAGCCATCCTTTTTTGTAACAAAATAGCAAAGAATCAATATTCTGCCCCATGCCCCAGTGCAATATGTAGGATATTGGTAAAATATTTCCATAGGCAGAGACTCCGCAGCCTTCCTGGATTCATTTCAGTGTTTTAGTAAACGCCTTTACTCAGTGTAAGGGCAATCTGCTATTTTACTCAACACTTTCCTAAGTTAAGATAGAAGACAGTTGGCTATGCCTCCTGTAATAATTTCTACTTACATATTATTTCATAAAGTTTCCCCTCAGTGTAGGGGGCTTGGAATGGGAGCAATATTATCTGAATTTGTTCATAACTCTAGTCTATTCAAGTGGTCTGCAGAGTATTCGAATATTATCTCTCAGAAACTAAAAGGGAAAGCTCTGTCTTGGGACCTACTTTAAGTAAGCTAGAAGTGGCTTCCGGAATATAAATTGTCCAAAAATCAATGGTGGTAGATATATAACCCTTCTGAACTTCAGCCTCCTCCAAAGTGAATTGAAATGCTAACGTGGAAGAAAAGAAACACTAGAGAGATACTGTTGTTATCAAATCCTGTAAGAAACCAGTAAAAGGGGTTTCTAAACCATTAAAGCCAGTGTAGAGTCCCTACTGAATATCAGAAAGCCCCCTTTTTTTTAATGTTAAGGCCTGCTTGGGGACAGGATGGGAGAGAGAATTTCTGACAGATACCATCTCGCACGATGCATTTGTCAGTTGTAGAAAATCTACAATACCTGAAGTCTAACACAGAGTATTGGGCACTAATTCTGTTGGGTAGTTGGGTTCATTTCAATATACTGTTATAAGTCTTATTAGTCTTGATTCAGTCAGAGTGTTGAATGCTACTCAAGGTAGCGTTGAGGCGAAAATAAATAAATAAATAAATAAAACCTCTCAGTACTTAGATGCAAGTAGATATAGAATATGAAGAACAAGAATATTTAAGTTGCATAACCAAATCTTTTCCTAAATTGATGCTGAAATATGCGGGCAAGCAAAGGCCATGCATTCCCACTATTTGCTTGGTCTGAGACAAAATCGAACTGGAAAAGCAGAAAAAAATAATCTCACTATGGTATCCTGTTATCATTTGTTGAGAAAGAAGGGAGGTCGACTCAAATGCCTGCGGTGCCTATGGACACTGTGCGGAAAGCAGGACAGGTGTTTGAGAATGGCCATTCAAGCTGTATTACTATCATAGACACCCTTAGTTTGTGCATTTTCTAATAGGAATACTTCTCATCTCTACAAAAGTATGTCTCCCATTTTTATTAAAACACAACATCCCACCTGGTCCACCTTGCATTTTCCCAATTTTGATTGAACAATAGATACTAGATACTCTGCCATCTTCAGTTCTACTATTTAAAAAGACAATAGCAAGATTAATGATTAGTGAGAACTGCTGTTTTGGCACAAGGACCAGAGGGAACAGTGTGGACTCCCACTTGGACTTGAAAGCACATGTGATGCCCAAAGAGATGGCACTCACCTCCCTGATGTGTTTGCTGCATGGGAATACAGACCCTACAGTGTCTCATTTCTTGAAAGAGTGTGGAAATTTTTACATAGATTCTTAAAAATTGTTGAATGTTAGCAACCAGTTAAAGTCAAAAACAAAATAAACCTCTGGCCCAACCCTGTGCAAAACAAAATCTATCAGAAGGATGCATCTGATATCTATAAGAGCCACCGGCTTTCAGTTTGTGACCTCCATTGTAGAATAACTGTTGTTTGACCTTCTAAAAATGTTCTTAAAGACACATGAGCTTTAGCTATCTTAAAACACCTATCATGACTATTTTTTCATATTCTTCTTTTCCAATTTGCCTTATCTTCT